TGGAAGCAAGAATGGCCAGACTTCGTCTCACCTATTTTGGTCATGTTGTAAGAAGGGACCATTCCCTGGAGAAGGATGTCATGCTTCGTAGGGTGGAGGGTCAACGAAAGAGGCGGAGGCCTTCAACGAGATGGATTGATACAGTGGCTGCGATGATGGGCTCAAGTATAGCAGGGATTGTGGGGTTGGCGTGGGATCAGGCAGTGTTTCGTTCTGCTGTGCATGGGGTCTCTATGAGTCGGAAACGACTCAACGGCACTTAACAACAACAACAACAACAACAATTTTAGTCTGATCTAGCCCATTCTCTTCATTTTATGCCTATGTGAAGACCTAGAGAAATCAAGTGACTTACTAAAGTCTTGCATCAAGTTAGTGACAGACAAGTTCATTTCTTGCTTCATAGTCAGGTGTGTTTTCCATGGTAGTCACATTTTTTATGTGTGTGTCTGTATTCAAGTTGAGAGTAATGTAGGGAGGCCTTTGGGGAGCGAGCCTGCAGAGGTAAATGTTTCTACTTCATCCCGGAGGCCTATGTGGAGCACAGGCTAATCCAGGGCCTGGTACAAGACCCATGGCCACAGACAGCTGGTGGGTCTCTGGAGTTAAGCAGCATGGAGGGACTTGGTCCTCATCTGCAACACCATTGAGGCTCATGAGTGTGATCAGCCTTCAGTACCCTTTTACAGCATCATCTCAGTCGATCCTCCAAGAGGTGGGGGAGGGATGACTACCTTTTCTCCCAGATGAGAAAACAGACTCAATTCCTCTAAACTGATCCATTTCTCATAGATTTGAAGATTGAGGTATACTGAATTACATTTTCCTCTTCAAGTCTGCTTGTTGCTGATTTCCACTTAAGTTCAATAAATATTTAATGTGCAACCATCTTACAAAGACATTGTTTTATAGTCCAAGAAAAACAATAAAATACAATATGAAGAAATAGTAATAATAATAGCTAATTTTGTTTTTTAGCACTGATTTTATTCTAGGCATCGTTCTAAGCATATATATGTGCTCATTTAATCTTCACAACCATGAGGTGAGTACTGTGACTGCATCCATTTTTCAAATGAGGATGCTAAGTCACTTGGCCTATGCCCTGGCAGCTGATAAGGGACATCACTAGAAATTCCAGCCCAGGAACTCTGAGACCAGAGCCCATACTCTTAATCACCTCAGTCTGTTGCCTACCAGTATGAGGGAGGAGTGACAGCAATAATAATAAATAAGAGCAGCTTGTGTTTATTTAATACATGCAGCTCTGTACAGTGTCAGCCACTGTAAAAGGTGCTTTACAGCTGTTGTCTTAGCTGATCCCCACAAATACCATCTGAGGAAGGTATTATTGCCCCTCTGTCTTATCAGATGGAGATATTGAGGCTCAGAGACAAGTGACTTAGCCAAGATCAACTTCTACTTGCCTTAAAAGTCTAAAATCCTTAACCAGGTATACGTTATCTGGCCCACACTTACCTCTTAGTCCTCATGTCTTGCCACATTGGATGAAAGCTCCCTGTTGGTTGTAGCCATTATATTCTACTCCTCTTTGAAACACTTTGCAAATGTGGAACAGTGTAATTAATAAGTAATAACTTAGTACAGGTTGCCTCCTACCAGGCCATTCTTTCATAAAGCCTGAGTAGTGCAAAACCACAAATCTGATCTGTCACCTTTCTGTTTAAAGCCTTTCTTTGACCTCCCACTGGGATAAAGAACAGGATCTCTACTGTGGCCTTAAAGGCCCGCCTCATCCCTTGCCCTCAGTGTTGCACACTGTGCCTCTCAACCCCTCAGACATACCAGGCCTCAGGGCCTTTGTACATCTGTTCCATCCATGTGGATGGGTGTTTCTGCTCTCTTTTCACCTAGCTAAACTTTGTTCATCCTTTAGGTCTCAACTGGAGGATCTCATTCTTAGAGAAGAATTCCTCATACTGCAAAAAAAAAAAAAGAAGGTGGGGACCAGGTTTGCTGGTCCAATAGAGCGTGGTGGAACCACTGAGACTATGGCCCCTAGCTGCCCTGCAGGTCTGGAATTGAAGCCACACCTGTGGTTTCCAGCCAAACAAAGTACAGGCATGTGAATTAAACATTTACCTCAAGTAGACACACGCCCTGGA